TGGTATACCGCAAACATGAGGTGCAAAAATTTGTACACCATATCCGGATTTCGAGAATTAATGTCTCTTAAGTGATGTTAGGGATCGAAACGGTATTTGGAAGGCCATATAATTTACCTCAATTTAGGATAGACTCTTGAATTTTAAAGAGTCGAAATAGGATGAACGGATCATATAAACCCGAAGGAAAATATAATACAAGCCCAAAGGAAAAAATATAAACAAGTCTAATATGAAAACAACGTTCAAACCTATGATTGCGTTGGATAAAAACCACAATTTTTATACGTGTGCGTGTAAAACAAATTTCTTGGTAGAGGGGTCTAAATACAGCACAAACAACATTTCCCAAAGACCAAAAAAGTGAAAAATATATTTTAACAAATCGCAACTGATGTTACCTGTAGTACATTTATGAAGAGTTTGATAACATGAAGGGTCTTCCTTTGAAAAAAGGTCAAGTACTCTTGTTTTTAGTAATTCAGTCATATAAACATATTTAACTTTTTTTATAAATTGGAAGTTTCATATGCCTTCAACTTTCGAGTTAGCTGCCGAAGGTTTAAGGCTCGAGACATTGTATGTGATGGATTAGTGGATATAGGTCACCATAGGTGTGTAATGGATTTACGGACATATATTACCTTATGTAATGGATTTACGGACATATGTCACCTTAGGTATGTAATGAATTTACGGACATATGTAACCTTTGCTATGTAATGGATTTACGGGCATATGTCACCTTAGGTATGTAATAGATTTACGGACATATGTCACCATAGGTATGTAATGAATTTACGGACATATGTCACCTTAGGATTACAAACAAACATTCGGAATTATTGGCAGATAATATACAGTTCTAAATAAAAAAGGAGTTCTAGGATATAAACAAAATTAAAAAATGATATCACGACTACTATTTCACAGACACTTTTGTCAACTAGAAATAGTGTACAGAAATTCGAAAGAAATAAGAAATACACAAAACGTATGAAACGCATTAAGTTTAAAAAGAGGTTAAACAGCAAGAAAATTATATAGATGATTCATACGAACGAAAAAGCAGGCGTTGTTCGCACTTGTTCCAAATATATTTTGTTTAAAAGAAAAGAATAATCTGCGAATATTTTTTACAGAAAAAAAAAAATTAAGACGAGAAAATTGCTCGTACAAGGAGAACATAAATTAAATGTTAGGTGAATAAATTAGATATTATGAGAAATGGAATAATGAAATTCCCAAATTCAAACACACCAACAAGAAAAAAAAGATGACAATTTTGCAATATCATATCAAAATATTGATTTATGTTTAAGCGCGACCGAATTCAAATATTATGGGAATTGTATAGTGATTTCGCAGACATAAGGTTTGGACAGAAAGGATATTGAAAACCGTCCAACATACAATGTTAAATAATGATGAGTTCTAATTTCCCCGCTAAACGCTTGATAATTTTTCTTTTTATAAAAATATGTCACAGAAACTGCTCAAAACAGATTTGTAACACATATAATGTTACAAAATATTTTGGATTTGTATAAACCCAAATAGAATAAAGATTTAAATCTATTTTAATGAAACCTGCAACGTGAAATGTCAATAACAAATGACTAACATGTATAAAGTGATTGTGATATTCTTTAGTTAAAATTTATTTTTTTAAATGATTCGATCGTGTAACCATGGTTGAAAGACATATTTAAACACGATTTTTTGGTTCAACAGTCCTAGGCCTTGATTGACGTATATTTTTGATGATTAGAATAACCTTAACCTCAATCAAATTATCTTTTGAAGACTGTGTTGACATGATTTAAATCAAAACTGTAAATATTTTAACTGTGAAAATTGGTGAAAGTGTATCTTAAGATCTAAGAGTCAGTTTTTAATAAATTTTGAACTAATAATTCTCTTGTTAAAACAATAAAAAAAAACTTTGGAGTTTAATGTTTACATAAGATATTGTCAAACTTACTTTTTGTGAATTGCGATCGTACTACGACGACGCCTAGGAGTCGCGTCACAAACTAAGGCAGATAATCGGAAAAACCTGTCTATACGGGTAACTTAAGAATGATGAGTCCGTATTCACACCAAACGTCGCGTACCTGCTTGCAAATTTTAACCCTAGGTAATATTCTGTTGTTCATCCTGCGGTCAAATTTATACCTTTGTTAAAATGCTTGGGACCTCGGTTAAAATTATAACCTAAGAATATTCTTATCTAAAAGCACTATTCCCGGGTTGTGTTAAAATGAGTAACAAAATCGAAACGCAATGAACAAAACGAAACAAAACGAAACAAAACAAAATGTATGATATTTGAAAGACTTATTACAAAAAGCTCTCAAACGTAAATAGAACGTGATTTACATTCTCCTAGAAAGAATTGACTTGCTAAAAAACTTTATATTACGTTATGTATTACATATCTTATTGGCATCAACTTTAAACGAACTGAGATTGTTTATTTTAAAATATTTCCAGGACAGAATAACATTCTATATATATCTATATATATTCCTTATAACTATTTCCTGTCTTTCTCTTGCATTAAAAGACACAATCATAAGAATAAATTGCAGATATTTGGTACAAAATTATTTATTTCTGGGATGAAAGAATATTTTCATTTTTTGTTATACGGATTACGAGTTATACGGATTACATTAAGGTAGCACTGCAGTCAGATTTTCTGACTCCAACCAACAGTCTTTAAAGATTTATTTTCTCCAAAACTACTCAATGGATTTTTAAAATCTTTTAACTCATTTTAAAGCTGAAATATTACTCTTTCTTAATCCATAGATAAATTGATTTTTGGTATGATAAATCTCAAAATATAGCTCATTAATTGCCAAAAAAGTTGTCTTCCAAATTGGATGGAAATGGCACATTCAGGTCAAATGGTAGTAAAAATTTGTTTTCATCCCTTTAATCAACCATATTCAAGCTGCAAAACCATGCCTCCAGTAAGAAGATATATTGATTTAACTGCTGGGTGCCAAACCTCATTTCACCTTTCATCTTTGGAGACCTATAAATTCATTTAGAAACAAATTATTAAAAAAATGGGACACTGTATTGTAGAAAATACTCCCTTTTAATCACATATATCAAAGTCAAGCCAAAGGGGGTACCAATAAAGTTTATATTTTCATTTTTTCCTAACAAATCTCATGAAAAATTGTTCTGAGAAATGACCTAAAAACGGAATTTCCCCCTTAGAACCCCTATAAATGCAACATAAATACAAACATTCCACAGGGAACAACCCAGGAGTGTTCTGACACCATTACTTTATCAATAAAACCACACACTTTGTCTCTTTGATGCTCTAATGCTGTAAATTTTGCATTATGTGTGGCCCTGTGCAACACCAACTTGGCATTTGGCGGAAGTTTGATGTCACAGATTTGACCAATATCTGTAATGTAGTAATTAAATATAGACAAAGCTCCGCCTCTGTCCAGACAGTCTAAGATAAGAGAATAACAGGATTGACCAGCTGTATATAATCAATATTTAACATCATTACTCTCACTATAAAGAATAATTTTCATTTGTATTTTAAAAAGAAATATACTATTACTGAAATTAGCTAGAACATTAAAATTGTGCATCAAAAGACATGTTCATAAAAAGATCCACTTATTTAAAAAAAGACAATCCCACATGATTTTTGAGTTTTATGGAATTGAATAATTTCACATAAACTTAAAACTGGTTCAAATGCCTAAAACTGTATTTAAATGTAGAAGACCAAATAGAAGAAATTTATACAGGCAGTCAGATGCTTTCAAAGATACTTTCACACACTCTTTTCCATATTTGTTTTCATTTTTTGTAGATTTCTTCCATTTAGATTTTTTCCTTTTCATATCTTTTTCTTTTTCTCTGTTTATAAACATTTTATATAAATTTCTTTTGTACAATGAGATAAGACCACAATATTTATCTTGTGGTCAGAGATTAACAGCTGGACACTGGTATCAATAGATGATTGATATATTAGCCCCTCCAAATGCCTATATATTTATATTAATTACCATGTGCTTTTATTTACATAAGTTCATTATCAATTTACTCCTTGTTGTGATATAATAATGACTTTGGGATTTTTACAAACTGTGCAAAATAATACTTAATTTAAAATTATGTGATAAAAAAAATATCTTCAAAAAATCATTGTTAGACTGTAGTGCTACCTTAAGCAGGAACTTGTTATCCTTCCGAAGGCACCTGAGTTCATCCCGGCCTGTTTTTGCTTTAAAGGGGTTTCTTATTTTAATGGAACACAATCAGAAAAGTTTGTATTGTTAACGGAAAGAACATCATCAATATATCTAAATGTGAAATTAAATGTTCGGGCTTCTTTGATTTTCTTGTTTTTGACAAGTGTCTGAAGGAACTCCGACTCATATATAAATAAGAAGAGATCGACAAGGAGAGGCGCACAGTTCGTTTCCATAGGAATGCCGACACCTTTTTGAAGAAGTCTACCTCCAAATTCAACAAATATGTTGTCAATGAGAAACTCCAGCATACTGATCACTTGTTCCTCTGTGTAGCATGTATTACTTTTTTGTTCACTACCAATAAAATAAGCTGTATGGTATCAGAAAGCAAAAAATTTATAGCGTATTAGTATTTTATTGAAAAGCATTGTGGATTATTTCTTTTAGACGATTTTTCAATTTCACATGGGGAATGGTGGTATACAGGGTTGAAGATAAAAAGGTTTGATAGAATTAATTTCAGAGAAAGATCTAGAAAAATTATCAAGAAATTCTTTAGAGTTTTTCTTTAAACACAAAACACAACAAAATAAATATTGATCAACACGATTCCCACAAAAAAACGGGGGTAATCTCATACAGAACCCACCAATCATAGTTTCTAAGTCGTGCTATTGTAACTTATAAATGCAATCTTGTCTGTGTAATTTTAGCAATGCTTAACATGAAAGTCTAGATTAAGTTATGATTTACCTTCGAGTCTAGCGGCTTTTCAAGCATTGACTTCTTTAATTTTTTATGCAATTCTTTTCCATCAGAAACGTTAGCTTCGGAAATCTTTTCAATGTATTCCGTTTCCAATGCCTCGAAAATTGAGTTGTATAATGACACTGGTCCAGGATTTTTAAAATCACCATTATGTTTCAGACATAGTTGCTTAAACCATTCAACTGCGTCTTTGCTCTCAATTGGTGTCGTCGCTTTTCCTAATCTCAACAGTATCTGCACACCCTCAACCTGTTCCCGAAGTTCAAGTAACTGACAACCTAAAAAACCAATACTTTATTAATTTTTCAACTCCTCTTACAGAATAAATATCGAATCTTTAGTAACCCTCAAAAGCAATAAGCAAACGATTGACCGCATATGTATCGTTTAAGCATGCAATTTGGGCGCAAACTCAATATCTATATAACCTGGAAAATATGATTTGGTGCATCACTTTATGACATAAATTTTCTGCATGCACTTGATTAACAAAACCAAAAAACTCAAGCAAACTGCTACTCCTAATATCACAATGCGATATTCAACACTGGACAAATGTTCTGATTCTTTTTTAAAAATTGCGTATTATAAAAAAAAAATAACACGTACATGTACGACAATTACAGTTATGAAAACAACACACTACAAACGTAAACCCAACCAAGACCCACGTCATGACAATATTCTATTAACGTCGCTTAAAAAAGGTAGAACTTGATATGATTTCCAAAAATGATGTAAACCAACACAGATCCCCGTACGGTCTTCAAGAATTAGTAAAACTAATACGTTTAAATAATGACCAGAAAATCTCCCATAAAAAGACAGCGCGTATACCGACTGAGATAAAGAAGTACTTCCTTAGCTCAGTCGGTATACGAGCTGCCTTGTAACACAAAGGTCCCGGGTTCCAGTCCCGGTGGAGAAAAGCAATTTTGTAATGAAATTCATGCTCTCCGGTTACATTGGCACCCAACGTAAAAACCCACGGTGGTTAGAGAGGAATTCTAGCTAGGGTATCTGTGTGAGAGTCAAGATGATATGATTACTCTTGAGGTCGGGGAAGTGTGACGGGATTGCTTCCCTTAATAAATGTGGTAGATACTAAGTCAGCCGTAAGCGGTTGATCTAAGGAAGTACTTCTTTATTCCGTCGGTATACACGCTGTATGTAACACAGAGGTCCCGGGTTCGAGTCCCCGCTGGAGACAAAGATGATTTTGTAAGTAGAATCATGCTCTCCGGTTACATTGGCGCCCAACTAAAAAAAACATGGTAGTTAGAGAGGATTTCTAGCTAGGGTATGTGTTGTGAGACTCATAATGGTATTGTAGCGGGCAGGGGCTTGAAATGCTTGACCCAAAAGTTTTACTCAAATTTTATGAGTAGTTTGTAAATTGCTAAGTCAATATGACCAGATATGATCTGGTCAGTATAATATAGGCATTTGTTAAACGTAACATATATAAGTTTCTATATTTTATTCATTTCGAGAATCAGATATTTTCATTATTATTCAGGATAAACAACAACAATTTTAAGTAGTCAGATAATTAAATTTTAGACTCTTAGATGGTATGACAAGAATCTATTCAGTATATATGTAATAATTTATCTCTTCACTCAAGAGATGATTAATATAATTTTTATGAGTGCAGGATAACTTTGTCCGTGCAATTCTAATAAAAAAATAACACTTGCTATTACCAATATAAAAGGCTGAGTCCTGCTATATTACAAAGAAAATAAATTACCTCAAAAGAAAATACTAATTTCCAGTGAATTTAGTCAGAATACCTCTTTCTGACATTTTTGTATATAGTAATAACTGATAACTCACCAGTTACATAAAAAAAATGTTTATTATTATTAGTTATATTCAGAACCTTTCCTAAAAAAAAAAAACTAACAATGAAATACAGTTTATACCTTAAATAAACTGTTTTGTTTATCATAATTTCCAGAACTTTAGGAAATTATCCCTTAATTGCCAAATGTCTTCCTATTTAATTCTATTTATTAGAAAAAGACAAACGTTAACAGTAAACGTGAACTACAATTTTAAATTCAAATGTAAAATAACATTAATCCTAACTTTAAAAGATAACTTGAAATAAAGCTTTGCCAGCAATAATACGATAATTAACCCAAAAGATATTTTAAAACAGTTTTAAGAACTTTCCTAAATTTACCAAAAGAATAAAATTCTTTAAGCAAAAGATCAAAAATGTAGGAGTTCGGTTCCTAAGAGTCCGCTAAAAATGAAATATTCCTATCTAACTTAGAAAACGCTAAATTTACTATTTTCCTTTACAATTTAACCCAAAAAATGAAGTTTGTGAGAAAATTTAACCATTTTGACAAAAATTAATGACGAGCAAAATAAAATACTAACTGTAAAGACCAAAGATTTAAGCAGAACTGTCAAACGAAAGTCGGAATTACGTCAATGTTGGATTGTTGAATTGTTGGCAAAGTTGGAAAATTGTTGGATCGCGCGATTGCTATCCAACTAAATATTTGAATTCTCAAATAAATTACAAAAATCATAATTATATACAATTTTAGTAACAGTTATATAATAAACACATTTTGCATGGTATTAAACAAATTTCTATGGTACCTAAAATTACACCAATACAACTCCACCGGAAGTCACGATACGTAAACAATATTGCAAAAAGCTATGTGTGTCACCGGCGGACTAAAATGATAAATATCAAGGATAGTGATCATTAACATCTGCAAAATATTGAAGACGTTGAACACAAAGGCTATAAGGAATTACAATGATGATGTGAAAACAGTTGCCAAAACGTAAAAATAGTGTTTTTATTGAAAAATCGTCCTAAGTGACACATGGATTCTACTGCGCATGTCCGTACATTTCATTCATAAAATTCAAGCAAGGTGCGTGAAGTTACTATAGTTGCTAAAGTTGGATCTTCACAAAAATACAAGACATTTCGTTTCAAAAATCAACATATAATGACAGATAGATGTAATAATGGAAGGTATAAACTTTACAATACAGAGAAGTTATCGTTATCGATTTATAATCAACTGAAAGTGAATATTGGATTCAACCAAGCGTAATGACCGCATGGTCTAAATTGCAGACGACATTTAGATGTGGATTATTCAGTGGATTTTTATTATGAACTGGTAAATTATAAAAATGAATTTCAGATTATTTATTAAATATTCCAATGACAGTAATACAATATTTCTAAAAAATAATAAAATCATTGTAACTGTTCTAACTTTACTTAATTAAATATCAATTAAAACTTATTTGCCTCAATTATGAATATTTTCAGACTAGTATAGTACAAGTTATTTCGTACAGTTACTATTTCCTGCACAATAGGACTTTAATAAAAATTACAGAATATTAAACAATATGCTTCATGGATACCAATTAAAACATACATCAAAAATATCTTATCCATGTCTATGTACTAGACTTACATGTATATCACACATGTCACTATAAAATACATGTACCCAGGCTCTGTACTCTACAGTATGATGACTCTTGAGTTGGGGGGAAGTGTGACGGGATTGCTTCCCTTAGAACATGTGGTAGATACTTAGCCAGCCGTAAGCGGTTGAGCTAGGGAAGTACTTCTTTAGCTCAGTCGGTATACGTGATGCCTTGTAACACAGAGGTCCAGGGTTCGAGTCCCGGTGGGGACAAGCAATTTTGTAATGAAATTCATGCTCTCCGGTTACACAATTATATAGAACGAGATAAAAAAATTAACAATTAGAACTTGAATATTAAACATGAATCTTCAGAGTACATGATTTAAAATGAATTTATTGCAATTTGTAATTGTTTTCTTTTTGTTTTCCTGTGTTGTACCCAATAATCCGCAGGCAAAATTTTACGATTAAGTGAGATTGAAAGGATGTTTATTTGTATCTTTAGATACCAGTATAGACGTCTGATCTGTAATGGATATCCTACTCCCGAATCTGACATATTTACTCAATGAATTTGCATTGCAGTGATGCATGCATACAAGGAGACGCTTACCCAGTCTACGCATTTTTGGAGTTTATGTGATTCCTTCAGTTTCTGTCTGTTACCCTGATATGTCATTTTATAATCGATTGATTAGACTTCAACAGCAGTAAATATAGTCGCCTTAATTGGCCACGTTCTATCATATTTTCACCTGCCTCAGATAACAGTAGGGGCCGCATACATACATGAATACTTGCTTTTTCTAATGTTGTCCTGTCTATACCATCATTATATATTAGCTTGTCATACAATGTATAAGGCATAGGTGAAAAATGAAAACAACACATGTTATGAGTGTCATGCGTCCAAAGTGTTTTTTCTTGCTTTACGTTCATCAGGAACTCTCAAAACCGAATATTTGAAAACCAAGTATGTCTAAGAATCTAAACAGTTGAAGAGCTATATAACCAAAAGAGGATCTTAACAAATAGCCAAATCAATTTAAGGTCAACTTTGCCTGAGGGAGTTCAAACCTTAGTTTCTATCAATTTTAAAATTTATTAACGGATACTTTTAGAAAGATTTGTTATAAATCATGTCAGTATCGAAGTAGTGACTGCTGAGCTGATGACTGATAGTCCACCAGCAGAGGTATCGACCCAGTGCTGTAAAAACTGAAACAACACTTTATAAATTTCATGCGTCCGAATCGCTTTTCGGGACTTACCTTCATCAGGAACGCTCAAAACCGAATATTTGAAAGTCAAGGATGTATATGAATCTAAACAGTTGAAGAGCTACATAAACCAAAAAGGAACTAAACAAATAGCCAAATCTATCTTAGGTCTTATTTGCCGCAGGAAGTTGAAACCTTAGTTTCTTACAATTTCAACATTTATTAATGAACAATTTTAGAAATGTTAGTTAAAAATCATATCAGTACCGAAGGTCAAGTGTTTGTTATAACAGATGGCGTCATTTTAAGTGACTCACGCAAATTTTCGGCTCTGTGGGAATTATTAAACGAATTAATAATTGAATTATGACTGTGTTGGTCTTACTTTATTTTCCTCCTAAATGACACTGTGGTATGCAGTTCACTGGGCTGTGATGTACTTGTATAATTTACTACTCTAATTACTGGATGGTATAAACGATGACAAATTTATATTCTTCCCATACATAAAGGCAACAGTAGTATATCGCTGTTCAAACGTCATAAATCCATAGAGAGAAAACAAATCCGATTTACAAACTTTAACCGAGGGAAACACATCAACTATAAGAGGAAAACAACGGAACAACAGAAATACTGGAGAGCAACAAAAACAAACGCCAACATACATAGAAACGGACTATTTGATAACAACTCCAATATTCCTGACTTGGTACACGACATTTTGAGAAAAAAATGGTGGGTTGAACCTGGTTTTATGGCTAGACAAACCTCCCGCTTATATGGCAATGTTAAATAATATCGCTTAAATGACAACACTACGTGACAGGAATACAGTACAAACAAACGCAAGAACACTCAGTACAGAAAGACACATACATAAATAATATAATAGTACTTTAGTCACCGCTTATTTTATTGTACTCTTTCTAACAAGTATTTATTGCGTTTGACAGTCGATCCCTTCGTTTGTTTTTCGGATTGTATGAATTGCTGTCTGCTGAAGTAATGTTTCAAAAGTTTCATATTCCGAGGTACTACACTCAATAACCAGAGTAGTGGCTTTAATGCAGTTTTCCATTCTTTTTCTTTAAGGGTTTTCGGTAGTTTAGATTATACGACATCGATGAATGAGTTGCAGGATGATAGCATAGGGAGCGTATAAATGCTTATTTCCGCATCATTTTTTTTTCTCTATTAAATTATCAATCTTAAATAAATAGTAAGCTTAATGTCTTCATGAAAAGATCTAGTTATCAAATATACATTAGGCTTATCATAGTTCTGTGCAATATATATTCCCTGAGTTTGTCATTCGGTCATATTTAAGGTATAATATTGATTAAAAATGTGATGTCTAAAAGTCTAAAAGTTTTAAACTGGAGGTTACACTTAAATGTAAAAATTGTAAACACGCATAAACATTTGGGAGTTAAGTAGCGATTGTGGATGGACCAAACATATCGACAAGTAAATAGTGACAGTTTCAAAACTAAATATTCTTAGGGCGCTTAAATATAAAAGAGGAATTGTCTAGAGCATATTTACATTTCGTTTATTAGGCCAGTACTAGAATATGTATCTGAAGTTTAGTATAATTGTTGGATAAAGACTTTTGATAGACTGAAAAAGCTCGAACTTGAAGCAGTGTAAATAATCATAGGATATCCATCATTTGCCAGTATAAATGCGACTTATATTGAGACTTGATGACAAGAAATAAAAAAACAAGAAGGGAAAAGAAAACAGTAACAATGTTGTGTTTTATATCCTAATACATGTCTCATACAAGTCCTAAGACCATCCAAAATAATGTCATAAGACATATATTAAGAGATATCCTAGGATATATTTATTGACATAGCCCCATGCAAACAGTTCGATTAAGATATTGCCCAAAAAATATAAACACCTTTTGCAATCCTCCCAAAGTTATTCAAAGCTGTGTCGTTTCCAAACTTTTCATCTTCAGAATAACATTGATTTTTTGTAGTGCTATTTTAAGTATGGCTACTTTGTTTCCTTTAGATTGAATTTTGATAGGTACTCAACATACCCCAAGTGAAGGTAATGAAATGCACTCAACAATCCTGATCGAGTATTGGGATGAAATAAACATAAATGGATTATGAAGAGCATTCCATTATTCTAAAAGAGAACTTCGGGTGGGTGGGGCGGGAAAAATGTCTTAGATATAAAGGTACTATGCTACACTAATATCCAAATAACTTCCTTGGATAAGGTCCAATGGTCTATATCCTGTAGCAAAATTGAGAGTGAGGCTTGTAATCGTGCACAGTTACACTTCACTGAGGATGTCAGCATACCCCAAGTGAAGGTAATGAAATGCACTCAACAATCCTGATCAAGTATTGGGATTAAATAAGCATAAATGGATAACAAGTGCTATTCAATAAAACAATTAAAGGTACTTAAATGAACATTAGTGGCCTTATACTGAATAACGTATTCCCAAAACTTACTAACTAAAAAATAAGAATAAAATTAGTACGGTACAACGTGTGTTACGTCAAAGAGTTATCCATTATTCATAATTATAGAGATAAAACATATCACTAGAAAATAATACATCTTTATTACAAAATTCTATATCTGTTAAGTAAATGAAACTAAAATCATACACATGTAAACTATAAAAATATATGTATATCATATACAAACAAAATTTCTCAATAATAGGCGATTAACTAACTCCCTTATGTCACAATGAGATAGACCATGTAATTAATTAAACGCGGGACTCAAATCGTCATATTGAGAATGGGATTCAAAAAATAACTGAGAAGCATTATTATTCTCCAAGGCGTTACGCCCTTCCAATTATCTAAATAATTCCAGTGTTCGATCTCCCTTTTCAGGTCACCACTAATGTTTACATCACGTGAATTTTTAATGCCGCTTGAAATAGCTGCGTTGACCTCTCTGCAAAATAATTTTTTGCTGCCGGTATAGCTAAGTTCATTGACATACATTTACCTGCAAACCGTTGCAAAGTCTTCACGCTGACCTTCTCAGATTTCAAGATAAGCTCTCTCAATGCAATAAACGATAGTTTCTTATCTGAAGGCAAAGAAAACATTTTTGTTCTGAGTCAATAAAGAAACCTAAACATTTTATAGTCTGGGAAGGGTTAAATCTACTTTTTTAATGGATAGTGTGTAACCTAGTCTAGTAAGTAATTCCACTAAAGCATACCTGATTGTGTTTATATTTCCATGGGGAAGGTGAGGCTTATCAGATGCAATTAATAGCCGATCATCAATGTATTGTAAAGTCAAGATATCAAGCTTCCTGAGAAATGACGTAACTTGTATACCAATTGATTGATAAATAAAAGCGAAAGCTTTCCAGCCGAAAGGGAGTACTGTATAAGAAAAAAACCCAACCACCAAACTGAAAACCGCAAAAAGTTTCGGATTCCCTAGTAATCTTTACATGATCGTAGCCTGATTTGTCATCAAACGCTATCATCTCGACTCTTTTCGAAACCATTCGGGGTACATGTTTTAGATTTTCTAATTGAAACGGATTATCTTTGATCCATAGGTTAAGAAAGCGTTCATCGTGACAGAGTCGAGGTTTACTTGGCTCTATTGTTAAGGGCATGATTATACGAGGCAACACACATTCTCCGAGCTTTCCCCAAAGTCGTATCGAACCTGATTTTAACCTTTCCGTAATCTCTTTCTCAATAAAAGGTATAAATAATCGGCATCCCCATCCAACGTTACCCATGTTGGGTGCTTCCTTATATGTTGCAAGGCACTACGAGGATCAAACTGAACCTTTTTCTCCCATTCCGGAGTAGAAAGGTGCGGAAAATCAGAATTCTGTGTATTCACATCCTGGAATACAGAATAAATTTCTATACCAAAATGCAAGGTATACAAATATAATGGAAGCAACCAACTTAGGTAAAAAGAAAAGGGACAAGCTTAGCACCTGCAGTCCACGTGGTCTAAAGATCACTAGGGAATCAGTGTCCCCGGACAGAGTTGCTGTGTTGAAAATAAAATTATATAAAATGCATATTAAATTTATGCAAAAATATACTAATCTTAAAAAACTACAAATTATGATTTAAAGCACTAATTAATGAAAAACTAGATATAAAAAATGTTACAAACTAGATACAAAACTCGATACAATTATTTTCCCTTAGCGTTTTTCATCTTCTCACAATCCTTCACAACGTGATCATTCGAATTGCAGAAGAAACAATTTCCTCTTGGCCTCCACTGGCCATTTCTTTTTGCTAAATCTTTTAGGGCCTTGATTATGGTAAATACTAGTACTAAAGGGAAACATTCCCTGCTGCCATCCAGTGGGCATCTGAGGCATGAAATAGTTAGGCATACAGGTAGCAGGGGGTAAGCATTATCCAAGGGAGAAGTGGTTTTCATTTTTTCCATATGATTAGCTTTATTCCCTGTGATCTTTTGTTCCACTTCCTTTTCCTTGAAACATTTTGCCATTGCTTTTCCCACTAAATGAGAAGCTTTCCCCCTAGAACATTCAACGTTAGAGTGGCAACATTTATCGACCCCTGATGTCTCTGCGCTTGTCGCGCTAATTCATCGAATGTTTCTGCATCATCGTCGTTTTGCCTTCTGGCCTTTTTTGCCAACTCGTCAAGACTAAGGAGAATTAGAGGCTCGCTAGGGTTTGCCTGTAAAGCTAAATTTCTCACCTTATCTTTCAACTCTTTAACGTTATCTTCTTTTGACTTTTCTAGATCTGCTACTCTTTGCAGAAGATCATGTTTCTTCTTTTTCTTCTTAGGAGGAGGGTCTTCATCTCCCGAATCCTACAATCAATTATAATCTGTATTTAATGTCCCATTAAAACATTAATTACTATCATTTTCATTTAAAAAATATATTGAGCGTGCTTAATCATAATAAACCTTAGGGGGGAAAGACATAAATGTTAAAACATGAAAAACAAAACCGGGCATGTAACCTTGAAAAAACATCGAAATTACCACGATTACATCTGTTTTATTTTATGCACACGTACATAACTGTAGAGCGAAAACAACAGATAAATCTAAAGGGGGTGCGGCTTCACGTGTAAGCAAATTTTTAGCTGATAAAAGTGGTCACTAACCGGAGACGCTCTACAAGGTCGTACTATCGAAGAAGGTTTCTACTAAACTCTAGATAGAATATATATATTTACCTCGTTTTCTACATGACGCAGGTCCTCCCCCGCCGGTTGCCCTATCGTATTAGCTAAGATGACCGTTACATGTAGGAGTTTCTTCAAGTTATCCCCGTTAACAGGTGCAGCCGCAAGCTCTAGTATCTGCGCTGCATCCTCCCCAGTAATACTCTTGAAATGACGTTTGCAATAATCGTCTGATAAGTCCTCTGTACGAACTAGAGACTTTACTCTCCCTAGCTCTAACTGGGGTGAGTTCTAATATCCTTAAACTTCTTAAGGAGCTTCAGACCCATATTATTAACCGACTTCAAATCATGCCTCCATTTTAGGACCGTGGCAGGTGGCATCTGAAACAAAAGGGATAGCCACAAGAAAATTAGAAAAGCGTCCTCTAAGGAACACATTAATCCCAACTATATTATAGAGATAATATAGTAACTAGTAACTAGTAAAGAATATAACGGTATTCAAAAATAAAAGCCAACATTTTAGATAAAAATGACCTCGAGTGACAGCCAAACAAAGAAATGCCAATCTCAAGTGCCAATCAGGCTAAATATAACCAAGACTTCATCAAAGCCTTAAGAAAAATCACATCATAAACGAGAACTAATCAAGTCCTAAATAAGGGGAACACATCATGTTCCGATCAAAAGAAATAAAATTATATTTACCTTGGAGGTAGGCGATGTGTCCTCTCCTGTAGCACAATTGAAAGTGAGGCTTGTAATCGTACACACTTACACTTCACTGAGCATGTTAAGTCAGCAGATGATTGAAAACTGCATCAATAGCTGCTTCAAATTGACTGTGTTTTAACGGTACAGGAGTTGCCATATTTTATGGACAACACATAAAATTGTTTACTATGTAGCATTTTTTATTTTTTTATTTTCAAAGATCAGCTGTTTAGCATGTAAGCCTACGGAGCAGTCAATTACAAGACTGCAACCTTAAGAGACTTATTGCCCGATTCAGTAGGAAGTAGACATGATCACAACACAAGACAAAGAAATAATATTACACAAGTCAACACACGGACCCGTTTATATTCTGAATATTTCACCCAGCAACAACAAAACTATGGAACACTTTTAACTTAAACATAAGAAAATGTGAATCTCTATCATTATTCAAAAAACAAATTCGTACCCAAAATAGTAAGGCCCCAACGTATTATTATATAGGATATCGTTTTGGTCAAATTCTTCATGCTCGCTTAAGAATGGATTCAAGTTCATTGAATTCTCATCTATTCCTTCGTAATCTAGTAGACTCTCCACATTGTCGTTGTGGTGATATAGAAACAAATTCTCACTTCCTGTTATCTTGTCCCATATACACTGATTTAAGACATGAACTATTAGATTCTGTTTCAGTTCTTCCTGTCCAAGTTGACACAAAAACTTTGCTTTTTGGATCAACGGTACTCTCAGATGAGCAAAATAGTATTTTATTTAGTTTGGTGCAGAAATATATTATTAAAAGTAAACGTTTTAACCCTTGATGTTAATGCTTCATTATTCAATAGGAACCCAAGCATTTCACACTGTATACATTACAAAAATTCATGTTTATTTTTTTATTTTTTCTTCTTCTTCTCTTAAGTATTTTCCTCCTTTTTCATATTCATATATTTATTACAGAGCATGCCAGTAATTATATTTATGTATTGTTAAATAAGTTTTTTTATTTTTGTAAACGGAGACAGAGTTGTAAAAGCAAATTGCTTGTTTCTGAATCCTTAATATTAATTTCATTTATATAATATGGTTTAATGTTGATTTATCTGAATAAATATTGTTTAAACTAAGTTTTATACTAATAAAATCAAAATGTTATTAGGCTGTATTATGCAGTTAATAAAATGGCTCTAACAAAAACGAATAAATGTATATCCATGATTAAAATTATCAAAAACTTTACGTCTTGCAGAATTTTGGTTTTAGTTAGAAATTATTTTTATATACTTTAAACGAACTTGTTAAAATCTGTCAGCATTACACTTCTCAATTATCTTAGGGCATTACTGAGCAACACGAGCAACACTAAAAACCCAGATGATCGCAGGTCATCCGGAAGGATAAGCAGATCCTTCTCCACATGTGGCTCCGTTGTGTTGTTCATGTTAATTACAAATTCGGCGATAAGTCTCATTCGGTAACGCAGCCACAATTAAGGAAAGAGGATGGGGTTGCGGCTACCTCAATTGAAATTTGCGACAGGTATGTTCTATCTCGGTCAACCAACTCATGATGGCGTTCGTCAATCCTTTGAATGGATGACCATTACCGCTTGAAACATTGGTTCAATTTATTCCTTGTAAGTAACAATCCTTTATCAAAGACATCACAATAAATAACACAAGTTCTAGAATATCGTATCACCTGGTAGAGAAATACTCAATATGCAGGCGCTGCGGGTATTTGCTACAGAGAAATAAGAATTTCAATATTGGAAATTGGAAACAATTTCTTATGTCGCTTTTTTTCCGTGCACTTAATTGCAATTTCTAGATGTATAGGAAGATTTAAGTAAGACTTATCTGTAACTATATTATCCTTTTTTTCAATTTTAAAGTGACATACTGCGTTTAACATTGTAGTCAAACTTTTAATAATTTAGTGAGAGGGTGTCATCTTAATATCGGAACCTGCATTCAGAGGTTATGCCTGCTTGTATTTATCTTCATTTGAGCTCCTGTATGAATTCTGTCTAATATTAATAAAGAAATAAGACGATGCTTATGAAAAACACGCCCTCCAAGCGTAACAAATGTGTTTGCAATTAAAAAAAGCATATTGATGACAGCAGTTGCAAAGATTACGCCGGCCATTATTTTTTATGAAACATTTTGAACTACTTCTTTTAGTCTATCTTTAAGTTTCGTAAGATGAATACTATTGTAAATGGTTGATAATTTCAATATTCTGCACTATTGCAAGAGGACACAGACTTTGAGTGAGTGCACTCTTACGGATCTTAAGATTTTTTTAGTACTAGTATTAAATTCTGAATCACACCGTAGGTAGTTTTACAGTAACACAAAAGTCCGGCTTTGATTTATGTTTAAAGAGATATTTATAATTTTGAAAGAGTTTTCAGACCCAACAATATAGCGTCAATGGCACTTATTATTAACAAATCTATTATTCCTTTTGATTAGACTTATTGGAGTGTACTAAGGCTTAAAATGAATTGGCCATAACTAATGCTTTTATCTTTATTTTTAAGGGGAGTAGCAAAATAACCTTACAAAATAGAGTAGGATCACTTTGATATCATTACTGTATTTGTTAAAAAAAATCATCATAGTGATGGACCAATCGTACACAATCGCATAACAATCATCATAACAATACGTTTGATACAATTGCGTTAAACTATGTTTTCGAGGATAAATTGTAAGCAAGTGCCAGCGAGGTCGATTTAAAAACTGCATAAAAGGTCATCCGAACATGACCACTTATGGGATGGCTTTAGAATAAACGATCCTTTCACGAGCGAACAAAAATCTAAAGGAGCAAATTGAAAGATCTGATTTTATTCAGATTGAAATATGACCATAATTGACTCTAAGGTGTGTTTTTTCTTTGTTTAAAATTCACAATTAATGAATGACTATTATTTATTTTGAATTTATTGAACCACAAAATTAATTTTTGACTCTTCACATTGAATAATCCGCGAAGCGGATTATGTAAAATGTGAAGAGTCAAAAATTATGTTTATGGTTCAATAAACTCAAAATAAATTATTGTCATTCATTATAAATAAATTTCTGTCAAAAATAAGGCTCAAAGAGCTTTTTATATTATTTATATTAACAATAACAACGTACACACATGTTGGCGTATGAATACACAACGTCAGAGTAGGCGTGTCGCCATAAAAATTGACAACATTGAAAATAAAGGTAATATTTTTAACCAATCAGTAGACAGTAAATACACCAAATTTATTTATAGGGTTATGCATAGACATTATCGTTGTATTCACATTCCGATGAAAGATCTTTCGAATTCAGGTCGTAATTATTGACCGCCGGTACTTATTTTTCACGATTATTTTTCTCGCTAAACCTAAGACAACCGTTTTTATAGAATTTGAAAAAAAATACAAATAAAATAGAAAATAAACCGGATTAACTAAACATTAACATATATTCTGATGTAATACAGTATACGAATAAGTTTGAAACTTTCATCCTTTTCTCAAAAAAGAGGGGATATCATTATCATATATTTCAACATTATCTTCCTCGTACTTATCATTATCATTTCGTTGATTTCAGATGTATATTTAAAAAACATATTGAAAATATAAATTTGAAGAAAAGGAAAATCATGAAACATACCCGAAAACTAATTTCACATGACGTAAGTCCCATAAAAATCATCAATCATGACTTGAAAGTAAAATATTCTTATCTCGATTTTCTATGATAAAAGAAACAGCATATAAGTTATTCGTCAACTTAAAATTAAATCATTTAAGTTTTCATTTATAATTATATATTTTTTTGCTTAGCATCCAATGGCAAATATTTCATTCATAATAGCGAATAGAATAAATTAACAATGCATCCAATTTAACAAATATGTAACTAACGTTAGTGACCAGAATGTAGGACGGAAAAGAGACTGTAAATTTTGACTGGCCACAGGTCGCCTCATGGGTTGTTACAAGAATTTTTTAACGTCCAGAAAGCATACAACTTTCTGTACATTAGAAACAGGTTACAGCTTTTCAGTTTTAGTGTTGTGGTTTTGTAAGCGAAAATCGAAAACACTTTTAGATTTCGTTCTCGATTTCTCACAACGGATGGATTCAAATATACACGGAACATGAAAGTAGAAGTAAAGTCTGAAAACTTTGTACTCGACCATTAAGATATCAGAAAACTCAATATTAGTGTGAGATACAAACTATACTTCTGTGTCGTCTCAAGAAGACCAACTTAAAAATGGAAAAAAAAACAAAAAAGCAAGGATGCATTCTACAATGTTCTAATCACCAGTCTATTTTACGTATAATGAATCAAAGACAAATCTTATTTCAGTTGAACTTCTTCTATTTATATTCTTCATCTAATAATAAACGGATATTTTTCTTTTTTCAATAGTGGATACATTAAGCCCAAAGGATATGGAATCACAAATGATTGTAAAACATCGACGTTTTTATAAAAGA